CATACGCTGATCTGGGTCCAAAATATACTTTTTATTATCAAAGTCAACTTTATTGCCAATCTTTTCAGTTTGTGTGTACAGACTAGAAATATAAAATAGAAATATATACAACACTATGTATGTATATACCTATATCTATTTATACACATTTATACATACGCACACATTAGGACAGAAATAACAGTCACAAATATATAATAATATATATCTAATATCATTAATATGCCTTTCTGTAAACTGGTGTCATTATACACCCTTTTCAATACTCACGTGTGTGTGTGTGTGTGTGTGTGTGTGTGTGTGTGTGTGTGTGTGTGTGTGTGTGTGTGTGTGTGTGTGTGTGTGTGTGTTCAGGCTCAGGCGGTGAAAGACAGAAACTCCATGCTGCGTTTGACGAGCATCGGATCGGACGATGACGACGATACTGACGGAGGAGAGCGAGAAAGAGCCTCAAACGCTGGAGGAGGAAATGGAAATGGAGGAGGGGGAGAAAGAGGAGAAGGAGGAAGAGGAGGAAGAGGAAGCAACGAACATCACCGCAGAGTTCAGATGACCTGGACCAAAGAGAAGAGCTCTCAGTACCGAGCGGCTCACTCTGGATGCTCCACTCCAGAGGGATTCAGAGACATGCTCAGCATGAGGCCGTGAGCGCGGAAAACACCCACAGATTCAGCCATTTTTGTAGTTCTTTTAAACGCGTCGTTAAGTGTGTGTCTTGTTTTTCTCCTGCAGGGATCACTCTAACGTCAGGCGGATGCACACCGCGGTGAAACTCAACGAGGTCATCGTCAATAAATCCCACGATGCCCGGCTGGTCCTGCTCAACATGCCGGGGCCGCCCAGGAACACGGACGGAGACGAGAACTGTATCCTTAAAGTCTGAGGGGTTCTCAGTTAGTAACATCTATTAGATATTTAAGATGCTTATACTTCATCAGACGTGTTTGTTGGGGGGTTTAAAAGCTTTAGAAACGTGATGAATGTCCAACAATCTGACTTTTCCAGCCACCAATTTCTCTCTCTAGCCATTTAACAATCAAACATGAAGTAAGCAGAACATATTGTGTGAACTGAAACTAGACTCTAATAATATTGGATGGTTAAAAAAATGAATTCAAAGTAAAGTACATTCATTCAAGTTTTACTTATTTAGCTATCGGAAAAGGAAAGTGCATTTATCTTAGACTTTAGTTGACACTTTAGGGCGCAATTGCTTCATGATTAATATATTTTGTTTTTCCCGTCTTGTAGAATTAAATTAGAAGCACTTGATTTAAATGTTGTATTAATTCAAATACCGGTAGAAATGTAAACAAAAAAAATATTAAACTAAAAACCCTCTGAAAATTCCAAACTAAAATAACATTGTCTCTTGCTCTGTTGTTATTGTTGATAAAACTATTGCTGTCATTCTTGTGACTAACCGGGTGTGACACCATGACTTTCCTCCAGGACACACTGCGCTATAATACGAATATTTACCTAACATTTGACCCCTTCTGACTCCATGATCTTCAGCCTCCTTAACTTTGGGACCAGACATGGAGTTCCTGGAGGTCCTGACAGAAGGGCTGGAGCGCGTCCTATTGGTCAGAGGAGGAGGAGGTGAAGTCATCACCATCTACTCCTGATTGGACGAAAACCAAGGAAGCGATAAAGACGCAGCCAATCACATAGAAGCGAGCGAAGGGGGAGACGATGAGGGGGGGGGGGGCAAAAGGAGAGACTCTCATTGGCTGTCAGCCCCCCGAAACCTTTTCCTTTCATCCTTAGGGTTTCCATTCCACTTATGTCAAGCTACAGAAATGCCAACACAATTCCACGATCGAAGACAAATAATAAGAGTGATCAGCCGTGTGTGAGAGCGTGTAAGTGTGTGTGTGTGTGTGTGTGTGTGTTGTCCATCTGTGGGGGGTGCGGTCTGTTGGAGAAGGGGACCAGTGTTGCGTTTTTTTTGGTGGCGGTGGACAAGCGAATGAGAGGAGATGCAACGAAATGACGAGACTCAGGGTGTCTTTTTGTACAGAGTGTATTGTGGATGTGTTTGAGAGTAGGCCGAGTGTCTGGATTTTTTTTTTTGTCTCCTTGAGGACACAGTGAATTTTATTATAATACCACATGAACAGGAAGTGAGGAGCCTCAGTGAAGCATCAGTGTGTCCTTACTTGAAAGTGTAACATTTCTCCTAACAATAATGGCCTATTTTCTTTGCATAACCACTATATATGCACAGACCTCAGAATACATTTTTCGTACATATTTGTTCTATAAAAGCTTGTTTTCACCAGGGTTAGAAAGTGGAAAAATAAAAGACTCAACCAATGACTTATCGAGTAAAGAAATTGAGTCAAAGAAAGCCTGAGTTATGACTTAACACGTCAAAAGTCATAGTTGTGAGATACAAAATTACAGCTCAGTATTTAATATCTGACATATTAAGAAAGACATAATGATGAGCTATTATTATGACTTTTCACCTCATAATGTTTTGTTTTTCTCAGTTAAAATTAGCTTATTTTCTCTTGCTTCTCTATAACCTCATGACGACAGATGTCAGAAAGACATGTGCTCTGCTAACGACAAGGATGGAAATAGGAATCGGTTCCTTAAAGGTACCGACACGGTTATGATTTTTGATGTCAAGGAAAACCAAAATCAAACTAACAATGAGGAAACTATCGAGGCCCACATTGGACTGCATGTCAATAATATCACGTTAGAGTAGACGGTGTAGAGGTCGACAATGAAACCATATTATTGGCCGTCGAAAAAGTACCACGACACTGCATGCTGACGAAATGTCACTTGGAGAGGTGTGTGTGTGTGTGTGTGTGTGTGTGTGTGTGTGTGTGTGTGTGTGTGTGTGTGTGTGTGTGTGTGTGTGTGTGTGTGTGTGTGTGTGTGTGTTTTAAGTTAGGAACTGTAAACTGGAGGTGTGTGTGTGATTCCACTTTAATGCTTCTTTTTTTTACAGTGTTATCGTGCAGGGATTCTTTTATGTTCATAGTTTTTTTTCCTAAACGTTTTTTTTTTTGTACATAAAGACAAAAAAAGTTCCCAAGTTTTATCTTTTTTTAATTACATTAATATAAAAAATGGAATCATAAAAAATATGCTTGAAAAAATACGGAAAGAAATAAAGCAATTTTGAAAGAAACTTCCCTGACTGACTGATGTTGCTTTTATTTCATCACATTGTAATGATTATATTATAAAATGCCAGTATATATAATGTGTTTTTACTGGCTGATATTTGTGCTGCAATTCCTACCATAAACTAACATACGAAAGAACAATAATCAACTAGAGAATGCAATTCCTGAAGAAATTGCTAGTGGGAATGCTTTATGCTGAAAAGCTGACGCTAAACTGTTATGCTGAAATGTAATGTGTAAGAAGAAAGTGAATAATTTAGATTAAAATGATACATGAACACTGGGGGCTTGAATGTGTGATGAGAGAAGAAAAGAAAGGAAAAAGGCTTGGAAAAGCAGCAGAATATTTGAACTGCAAACTTGTGAACTAACTTGATGGCGATTGATCTGTCGCCATGGCAACGGAATTTGATGACACCCCATAATACGCTTACATGTGTGGATGGCTGCATCTTTACCAAACCTGTGAAGGTTTGGGCCGTTAGGAGCATTTTCACTGAAGTTATGAGAAAAGAGTTTCATGGCGAGCCTTGTGTTACCATGGCAACGGCATTTGAAGAAATCTCAAAACTGTCACGTAGATGTCGTCACGGCTGGACTGTTAGCACACGTGAAGTTTCAGCACTTTTTGACGATTTTCATATGGACTTTCATAGGACTCTAACAAGTAACATGTAATGACTAGCAATATCGTGTTTTACGGCGAGGGATACGTTGCCATGGCAACAGCTTTTGAGGAAAACTCACTAATGGCACATAGACATGTTGAAGGCTGGACCATTAGCCATCATCTGAAGTCTGGTGCTGTTTTGACCATTTTCATATGAGTTACGGCAATATCTTGTTTTATGGCGAGTGGTGCGTTTCCATGGAAACGGCATATGATGACAACCTATATGTCTGCTGCTGTTTTGACCATTTGCATAGGAATTACAACAACATCATGTTTTTCCATTGACTTCCATGTTAACAATTTGATAAATTATGGGATGTATCCCTGGAATTATGAAAGTTATGAATGAGATAAGTAATAGCAATCGATTCCCGACCGAGCTGAACGTTTTGATGTTTTTGCGATGTGGAGAAGAAGAGCAGCAAAATAACCCGGCGGAATAATAATAAAGAATTTGTCCGTAGAAGAACAAGTATGCTGATACAGCATTCCCACTAAATTAGGTGTTGAGACATTATAAAAAGTATGGGACATTTAGAACAATGTATGTTACAACAAAACCAATAAAATAGTTCAAGAGAATGTTACAAGACTTATGTGCAAGTAATGCAGTAGAAGCTAACTATACGCAGGTAAAATAGAATAAGATGAGCTAAAAAAATGGAATGTAAAATGAAATGCTGTATAGTGAAATACGGGTGGCATATGGCACAGTGGATAGAGCCTTGGTATGGGGATCAGATGGCCTTGGTATGGGGATCAGATGGTCACAGGTTCAAACCCCACTGCAGTCAGCATGTCGTTGTGTCCCTAAATTGCTGTGGGGATTGTCACAGTATTGAGTATGTAAATCGCTTTGGATAAAAGCGTCAACCGTAACAAGTAACATGTAATGTGAAATAAAATACTGCTTATTGTAATAATAGATATATGTGTGAGATGCAAAAGGTTGAATGGTTTGAAGTTGTGAATGCACAGGGGCTCAGCATTCTGGTGGCCTGTGGGGTACAACTGTCTCATACTGGTGTGCAGCAGTGTGAGATTGTGATAGCACAGCAGTCTGCAGCCAGGTTTTCTTTCTGCTAAACACGCTGCACAGGTTGGGAAAACCCGTGGCGAAGCCGATGAGTACCGTGCTCGGCTGGCTCAGGCGGAGCGGCAGGCCCAGGCGGTGCGAGGGGGGCTGGAGCAGGAGCTGGAGGAGGTGCGCAGGGAGCTGCTGGAGCGCTCGGCGGAGCTGGAGCCTCTTCCTGAAGCCGTACGACGCTCCGAACTCCAGCTGCAGGAGACCCAGGACAGGGAGCGCAGCCAGGAGAGACGCAGCATGGAGCTCAGCACCACCCTGACCGACCTCCGCATGAAGGTCAGAACTCACATATATATTTAGATTATCTTTATTTTTTATTATAATATTTGTTTTTATTATTTTACTCCTGTTTTATTCAGTCCTGTGTTGGTATTAAGTGTTCTATTTAATCGCTTTAAAAGCTTTATGTTACACTCTGTTGCTTATTATTGGGAAGGGGGAGATAGTATTGTGCTTATTTTTTTTGGTTTGGTTTGTGAAGCACTTTGAGTTACCTTTGTGAGAGAACAATGCACTCCAGAACAAATATTAAGACCGGGGTAAAAAATTACAAGAATTGTCTTTTGGCACTAGTGAATCGTAACCAGGTTGTTAGTAGAGCTTCAAAATGCAAAAAGAAGAAACAGGAGCAAGAGACCAAACAGGTAATTTATTGGAAACGCATTTCAAATCAAACCGGCTGTTCCTCAGCTGTTTAAGACAGGCATTCACACTGTCATGACCTCCTGATGGCAACAAAGAAAAGGCTTTCTGTCTTTGAACGTGGCAGGATTGTTGAGCTGCACAAGGCCTCCGCACCGCGCCATCGCTGCTGAGGCTGGACGCAGTAAGACGCTCATTTTACATTTCTTAAAAGATCCCGAGGGTTACTGGACAAAAAAGTAAAGTGGTAGACCCAATCCAATGTCCCCTGCGTCGGAGGATCCTACGAGCTGTCCGTAAAGACACAGGCCAATCTTCGACCCTAATGAAGGCCGTTACAGATGCTGACAAGGCGCGGCGGATTCATTTTAGAAGTGGGGGGGCCAAAAAAGTGCGTGTGTATGGCCCAATCCCAAACCACACCCACACCTTACCCCGGGATTTGTACAGTGTTCCGCGCCGCGTGTATATACGTGTGTGTTTGTGTATTTTTGCGTTTGTGTGCATTGTGTTTGTTTCCCGGGGAAAACACTCACGAGAAACACCGGCTGTTGTTATGCCCGCACACCCGCGAAAAAACTCTGGTTATGTCGTCCGGAGCACACCTCTCCTGAGCTAGGGGAACGGGGAGATCTCTGCAGGCGGCCGCCTTGCGTATGATCTCCGGCAGTTCCCCTAGGATGCCACCTATCGCTGGTAGCGCTGTGGTGACGGAGAGGGGGAAAGCATGTTCGGCCGCCAAGCTGGTACCCTGCTCCGACTCTGTCTCCCCCGTCCGGGGGAGAGGAGGGAGGGACACAAGGCCCCAGGGACACAAGGCCCCCGTCCGCGGGCTCGTAAGCCTGGATCGTCCTCCTCGGCCGCAGCAGCAAGACCGTCTGCTCTCCGCTTCCTGTCGCCCGAGGGGAGACGGCACAATGTGTGGATGCTACCTGCTGGTTTAGAGCCGCGTACGAGTGCTCTGACCCCAGGCAGGATTCGCATACTGTGCTGGTCATAACTCATTATGAACCCAGAGCCACATGAGGGACAATCTCTCACACAATTGTTACTCAATTTACTCTGCAATTGAAGTGTCTCTTGTGCTTCAGTAACGGTGTGCTGAAGAAAAGAGGGAGCAGATTGTCGGGCCTCCTTCCTATTTATACCGGAAGGGAGCCCGAGGGTGGGGTCCACCTTGCGGGTGGGCGTGGACTACAAGTGTTTCAGTGCTGCGCGGGTGCGCAGGGGGATTACCCAATAGCGATAGCCTTAGAGGGCGAAGCCATATACGAAATAGAACGGGAGGTTTCTCGATGGCCTGGCCTGTTAAGTGGCCTGCTGGCCTGAGGATTTTTTTTTTTAATATATGTATTGTGAACGCAACACTGCGCAAATGTGGGTCTTACTCTGCCTCACAGAGGGTGACTGGCTGTCTACATGATGTGGCCTGCCGACATGGCCACTTTCATACAGATCATACACTAATGCCCTCGATTGGTCTCTGCCTGACATTCAAGCTCGGGAGGGTGTGTATGTGTGGCGCGAGCGAGAGAGAAAGCGCGCGCACCGGTTACGTGTATTGTTGTTTTTAGCATCTGGTGCTAGCTAGCTGCGCTAACGGATATAATGAGCTGTCAACAAGGTGGAGGAGAGTCCTCTTCTGTCAGACTGATACCTCATTCACACCAACGGTGTTTCAGGGCCGGTTCGGAGCTGGAGCTTGAAAAGCACCGGGTTTTCCTCTTCACACCGCAGCGGAGCAGCCTCTTAGCTCCGGAATCCGGTTCATTTCGAGCACCAACAAATTGTAAGG